GCAATCTTAATATGTTCCTTGAAGCGAACACCAGAAATGTAAACAAAGTCCGGATGACTAACGAAAATGAAAAGACGTAAAACTAATCGCTGTTCACGGTGTCCCCGGCTTCAGGTTTCAAGCGAGCGAGACCCAAGAATATAACTGGGATGAATGGCGCTTCATCCGTGAAGTGATTTTGCCCGAAAACGTAATGGCTAATTCAACTGCAAGCGTACGAACAGCACAGAAATAGGAAAAGTGTGCTCGTCAAGTGATTGGTGCAAAACTGCCATCCAAATCTATGGTAGGAAGGAGCTCGAAGTGTGGCGCAAAATGAGCAAAACGACGCCATCAGGAAAATACGTAAGGGCGATGAATATCCGGTCACAAATAGACAACGATGAACAAGTAAGTCTCGTGTGAAAGTGTCAACGTGAAGCTCAGAACCCGGACGCTATCAAAACAACCAGAGGATAAAAGGAAGTCCAGGTTCTAAACTATGTGCCGACACTGAGCACTATACACTCCAACCCTGAATGGTCCAGGGACTTGTTCTGGCGGTTCAAACAAAAGAGAACGACTGGCAGCCGACCAACAAAGGTCGGCATAGACACTCATCTGATATTTGCACTCACAATTACGCGTATGGTTCTTGAAGCACTCATCTGCTTGTATACCAATGCGCAAAGTCTTCGCAGTATCGCAAACCGAGCTTCGAGCTCGTCAGGTTCCAACATATTGCAATATCGTAACGGCGATCAAAACACGGCTGAAACTGACAACACTGATGTTGAGATTGCTTTGCCAGGGGCAATTCTCTTACAAAACGATCGATCCGGCAGAGGACAATGGGTAGCCTTGTATTATCGATCAGACCTGCTTATCAAGATTAACGGTGATTCAGAAACGCAAGTTGTCGATTACTTTTGCTGCCGTCCGCACCAGATACATGGTGATTTGCGATTACTAGCAACAGTTTACCGCACTCCAAGATCACCTTAGAAACGGACGATCGCCTAGCTTCCGCGAAGGAACGAGTTCTGGCACGGTCATGCAGTCAAGTCCCTCTGGTGGGGAACTTCAACCTGCAGGCAATCGAAATCCATACCGCTCTAAGTGAACAATTTAGCGAACAATTTAAGAACGACTTGCAAGAAGTAGTCACTGAATTACCTCTATACAACTATGTCAACATTCCGAAGCGATTCATAAAGGGTGAAGAAGCATCTGCCTTATACGTTGTGCTCATCGATGAGGAACCAGCGGTCGATACCGAAAACATAGATGAACCGCCTAGCCGTAGCGATCACGAGACGCTGACCTTGTGTTACACCTGCGCGCGAAATACATCAGTGGACACACCGATGAGACACTAGCCATCAACTATTGCAACATCTTGTCTGAACTGGTTCAACAACAGAATATTCCTTCCTAGCCGAACAGCCTACCAATTCCGCCTGGAAGGAGTTTGGCACGCAGCTCACTGAAATAGTGGAAAATGCGTATGGACCAATTTGTTGCCCGGAGCGAACGAAGCTTTTTCTGAGCAGCCAGACTCGAAAATACATTACCTCAAGGGAGTCAGCCTGACGCACATGGAAAACCTTCCAAGAGTGCAAGTCTGGGATGCCTACATGACTCAAGTAGGCCACTGCGTCAAATTGGTCTGTGGAGACAAGCTCAAGCACCAGCAGAATGAAGAGGTGAAATTCAATACTAATCCTAAAATGCTGCGCAAATAAGTCAACAAGCTCTGCAGAGTGCAGCACCGAATCCCGGCTTTACGTGCAGCAGATAGTTCGGTGCCTGATACAAAAGAGAGGGCCAAGACACTTTGGTTTCAGTTCATCCACAGTTTCCAGAGTGAAACGCTGCCTTATCCGTTTTTGACACAGCTCAGACCGCACCCATGGTTAAGCCACGTATCCTTCACTGTAGCAAATGCGTGGACGACAGAAGATAGAAGACAGTCACTATGAAGTTTGTTGAACTTCAACGATGTCATGATGAAATGATGTTACGGAGCTGGTACAGCTGCGTCAAACTTGCGCATATTTCGCCGGACTCACCTGAGAAAAACAATCCCCATGCGGCGAATCAGATATGCTAGGAAACAAACGAAGCACCCCCAGGACAGATGTCAAGCAACAAGGAACCAACCGAGCTCTACTCAGGACAGTGATGCATCTGTTGTGTACGCTGCAGTGGACCCACCGAACTCTCCTCATGACCCTACTGTCTCTATTGTATCATGCCGCAGTGAGCTCCTTAGTGGTAGCGGTAGTCACCGCACAAACTTACACAAACACAAACAGAGGTTCCCACAGGACACCATCACTGAACCACAACTCATGTGCCTCGCCAACAAGTTTCCCTATAGTTTGTGAGGCATGAAAATGAAGGTATGGTAGGCATGCCTCGCCATGGCAGAGCTAGTAAAAGAACTCTTGCTAACGGACAGTCTTCTTTCTCGTTCGGGTCACAGTGCAGTTATGCCACGTGGAGCGTATTCGTCTCCAGTCTTAACTCATGTGGACATCTGGTTGCTAAGTTTCGTTAGCCCGCAACGTTACCAATTCGATTGGCTACTATACACACATGAAGTATTATCTATGAAGGACGTTCGTCCGTTACTAATAAGAATCGAAGTAACTAGAATGCGTAAATGTAGGTTTCAACTGTAGTAACATGAAGCAGTCACCCCAATTTACAAGTGATAATCGTGCGCTCTCTAACTAGCATTTAATCACCATCTCGGTGCTATCCAAATTTTTGGAAGGAATTATTGTAGAGTAACATCACAGTGTCACAGCAGCAAGGATTTCGTGGAAATCAGTCCTGTACTACAAATTTAATGGTAGCCCAAGCAAGCTAGACGGAATCCGCCGACGACAGTGCAGGAGTCGACGTCGAATACATGGACTTCTCAAAAGTGCACAACTGCCTGAATCACCGCATTCTCCTTCACAAGCTTCGAAGTTATGGAATCAGTGACCCTGTGCTGGGTTGGATAAGATACTTCTCATTCGACATCAGCTGAATGTGGAAGTTCGCAGCGCCGTTTCCGACCCAGATGAAACGAGGTGTGGGGTATGCTGAGGATTCGTACTGGGATCACGTTTATTCCTTGGCTTCATCAACGATCTTGCTAGTGTACTCCAATCAAACTTCCTACTATTTGCGGACGATCTCAAGACATAGCAGACTATCACATGGCACTGCAGATCGATCTAGACAGGGCCTATACATGGCCCAGTGCAATGTGGAGAAATGCATATTTTTGAGCATACGCCATGAATAAGGAGTTGGGGAACAAAAGTTGCAATGTGCTTCCCAGGAAACCGGACTCAGAGTGACTGTGCAGAATCACTTTAGCCGAAACAAGCCGAAAAGGTATCGAAACGAGACAGTCAGTAAACCGGCCTCCTACGGAGGGCGTTCGATGAAGTTACAGGCTTCTAGCTTTCTGCAAATGCTAAACGCATACGTGAGGCATCATGTGGAATAGGTTCTTCAAGTATGGCATCCCTGGTGTAAACACGATGTCGATACACTTGTGGCTTTATAACATGGGCGACCAAAAGTGTTAGATGGTTTCACTTTCGCTACCAACTCAGACTGCAAGACCTTGCCATGTACAGCGATGAATATCAGCGTCTGTGGTGAGAACACATCATGGTGTACTTGATACCAAAGAACTCCAATCAAGCCTGTCACAACCTGTTGCAACTCACCCAACATACTAAAGTTAGAGATCACCAGCTCAAAGTGACCAAGCACTACAGTCGACTTGATTGCCGACAAACGTTTTCTCCCTTCACCTGTCCCCAACATGGAACGCCGTTCAAACTCGTGTCATGTCTGAACCAACACCAACGCTTTTCAAAAGCGCCTTGACGACGCAATATTACATTTGCATTGACATAGTTCGTTTTAATCGGAAGAGGAAATGATGCGAATCAAACGATGTACACACTAGCCCTCTCTGTAACACATCGGAAAGGAAATGTTCATTGTTGTTTGTATGAACAGTTTGGTGAGTGACTTAAATTTTCCTTTTTTTCGGTAATTTTACCTTTGGCTTTATAATTCCCAATCTGGTCATCCTATGGGGCTTGTCGAGTAATCGCCTTTTTATCCCGTATAAATCGTTGTTCACTGATCAGAAAAGGTACGTAATGTGGTATGCAGACGACCATAATGCTGCGTTTACTGCCATCTCCTAACAGTAATTCCTGTTTGATGCTTAAGCGGTAGGGGATTGTTTGTGGTAGGAAGATGATTGTGATGCACGGTAGTGAAAGTTGCATGGCATTTGTACTGCATATTCCTCCGTCTTTCCATGATATTTGTTTCTCGTGGTCACGCAGTGCCCCCAATATGCATGGGTCCCGATTCTGAAGACTTACTTATATTGTGTCCGCCTCCCCTTGTCTTCCAAACCCCAATTTGCACGGTAAAGTGTTTGTAAGAGTAAAGCAGCGAAATGTGAATGTAAATTACTGATGCACTTTGTTGGGGACGTTAGATACCACCATCGCAACACAAAAAGTAGGGAACTAGGCATTTAAACTGCAGCTAAAATTCAAGGGAAATAATGGCAAAAGAGAGGTTACAAGCAGTCCGCATGGAAGATGTAAAATACGACGCGATTATCAAAATGTAGGCCATGCGGAGGCATGAGAACCTGTCAGAAAATATAAATGGAGCTAAAGTCCGTCCCGACGACAAGAGGTGCAAATGCCAAGGTCAAGACCCAAGTAAAAAGTAACATAAATCCCACAGAAGCTTAGGGGACTAACAAGTTCACACGTCAGAGTAGGAATTCACAACCGTCACCGACTGATCATGGACTAGTGAGAAACAGTTGGGGCAGATTAGTAATACACGCATAATTGTTGCCTGACTTGCCTTAGCTCGGTGCTTAAAAGGGAGTAAGGTGTTGACAGCTGTAAGGCGTGCCTAAACGTGTTAAATAAGATGGTAGAATGCAAAAGGATGGTTGGCATAGAACTTACCTGTTTGTTGGCAAGCACCAATAGAGTGGCACCGGTCAAGCGTTCTTCTTGTAGCAAATTGGCCAATTCCTCACGACAATCGCCCAGACGTATCCTGTCTGTACTGTCCACCACCCAAATTAGGGCGTCTGTCGTCTCAAAGTAATTTCTCCAGTAGGACCTGAGAGACTTCTGACCACCTACATCCCAAATGTTTAGTTTGTACCCCATATGTTCTAGGGTTTGGATAGTAAATCCCAAAGTGGGCGATATGCTATTGATGTCCTCACCGTTGAACTTCTTCACTATGGTGGTTTTACCAGCATTGTCAAGTCCCCTAAGAAAGCAGAAAACAAATTTGACACAATAGTGAGATAAGCAAGAACCCAAAAAGACACATTTGAACATAGTTGAGGACATATTGACTGAGAGTTTGCATGCTAGTTTTAAGATTAACCAAGGGAATGACGTTCCAATTTTATCCTGGGTATTCAAGCAGCGTACTACCCGTCAAACGCCGTCGCGAGGCCCAACTCGAATTAGATAAGCACTGTTGTTACAGGAGGAAGAGCGCGAGACTTCGCCTATGGCTAGCTATGCTCTGAGCAACAAATTACTATAGGTTCAGCTAACAATACTTGTGCCTCCATAATAATAATTAGCATTGAGGCGGGGAGACTGATACTCGCGAAACAAAATCCAACGATTGGGGAGAACACTTAATAGTGTATCATGGGAGAAAGTAGAAACTTATATCGGCACAACTTCGTCGAAAACGTTACAGAAACTATTTACGACCTATCAATACTAATCGCTTTCTGAGTTCAAAAGTGATATCGTAAAAATCGTACACCTCACAGTATCTCGGGGCTCACAAATGTGAGATAGCATTTTCGGTGGGTAATCGTTCTCGGAATCTAACACCAGAGAAATGTACATTCAACAATATTTTGAACTGCTGCATTGCGTTTGCTTCCATTATAAACTCCGGCAAAGTGTGCCACACATTGATCATTCAGAAGACGTCGGGAGTGCGCCGGTACGCAGTACTGACGCTTCGCTGTCGCACAACCACGATCAGTCGCACATGAGCTAAGGATACTGCGAGGGTCGCCCTGCGCCTACGCAGGCTCGAACCCGCGCCCTCGGATTACAAGGCAGGCATGTGATCAATGTAAGCTGTGAGGGCGTGTGGCAAACTCACGCCACTTATTAATGCCTCCCGTGGGGTGAGATAAGGATGCCCGATATTTCTTTTTCTTTTCAACTTCACCACTGTGTGCTTCCTGATACTATCACACGTTCTCTCCGTTCAAACAACACTGTTACTGCAAGGGTCAAACAGTCGCACATGAGGAATGCTTATGCGAGTCGCCATCGTCTAATAAGAACAGGTCAGCACCAGTATTCAAGCATCGTAGACGTCCGGTTTCCAAAGCGGTTGGTATATCATCACTTCTGTTCATTGTTTTTCAAGCCAATGCCACACATAATCGGAAGTATGTCCTGCAGTATGTCTGGTAGTTAACAAGGTCCTAAAAACTCAGGCAAATGCAGCCCGATGGATAAAATTGGCAGCGTTAACGTGTTGAGGCAGTCAATGATAATTTGTATCAGTCACGCTCTTTTCAGCGCGCTGGTCAAACTTGGAAGCAGGTCTAACAAGTAAAGCACTAGCATGTCTAAAATCACGGATTTCTGTCCAACTGAAACAAATTCAATTATAAGAGGTGGGACAGAAAGTCGATAAAGAGGGAGTTGCCCCTCCGATGTAAACCAGTGGTTCCGGGATCTAGAGAGATAACGTGAATCAGCCAAATCGCCCATAGGGTAAAGTAACCCATTAAGAGGGCAGGAGGAATTCCTCAGGTATCACAACAAAAGCGCAACAGAACATGCAAGAAGCATTAAGTGCTCCGAATCGTTCCTACGCTGCATCACATTCTTGTATCAACCACCACAACACTAAGTCTCACCTATATAACAAAGTTGTCATCTCCGTGTGTACATGATTGCTCAGACATTAGTAGCAAATATATAAAAGCTACGGCGTCAGTCGCGTTCCACTAGGGGGGGGGCTATGAATGAGTACCAGACACACAGAACGCGAAAATATGGAAGCATCTTCGTAATCTTTGACAACGGCCGTCCGGTACAACTCTCAAACCCGTATCCGACAGCTTCACAAATTAAATAGAAAGCCACATGAGCCATGATAACTGAAGTACCAAAGAAACATCTGTAAAGATGTAACACGATGCAAGGACGCCTTTAGTCAACAGCCGTTACGCATCAAAAACTTGTTAAGCGTGAACAGTAAAATCCAGAGCTGGAAAAAATATCGGTCCTCTGCAAACACTTCAGGTCAAGTGAAATCCTAGGATACCATATTTATTCTTCTCAGCTGATCCGATTTTCAGATAGTAGAGGGATTCTCAGGAAATCGATGGCGTGGGTTGCAACTGGAGTTAGACAGTCACCATGAATGCGGAATAACGTACGACCGCTTTACGTTATTGGGACCAATAAGCAATGCGCATTCTCGTACAACATTTGAAACGAACCAGTGACTAAATTCATAGGAGTGAACGACTTCCGCCAATGAACTATGGATGACGTCCAGCTAGGATGCCACTGTCACTTCGATATCACTAAGCACCCAATATGACCCAAATGAGATGTTGTCTATCCGAGTATAGTTGCGACGGATTTCATTACAGATTGTGTTGAAACTCAACCTGGTAGTCCTACAGAAAATGAACGCTTTTAGTTTTCATATCCGTGTCAAAACATTGCCCCATTCCGTGACAGTGCAATTGTGGACTGTTGCAGGTAAACATGCTACCAAGGAGCAAGGTGTCATGAAGTAATAGGCACTGCAACTAAGCCGTGTCAAAAGAGGAGCGCTCGGTACCATTCGCCGTATGAACATAGGTCTCGAGTGCTCTGAGTCTTCAGCGGACAATACAGGCGATTGCGTGGGGAGCTCATTTTGACTTACCAGGTTTTGAGAGATCCCAACCGCACGTACCACTACTTGCTAGAGCTCAGTCACAACAGCGAAGTAATATGTCACCATCTCAAGCTGGCATAACAATACAGTGGTTTGGAATGTCGTCGTGTTTGCCAGGCGTGGAATGTCCTCCAGGAATTTGCAATCTGTGCTTTCACGCTGGTGAAGTTCAAAGCCAGAGTTGATCGTACACACAATTTCCTTAGACCATATGTCCAAGACCAAACACGAGTGTGCTATTTCACTGCCGGTCAACTCCCAGGATAGGTTCCACACTTTTTACCTCCTGCGCGGCCCGGCTTGCCGAACTACCTCGTGGCGCCAGCTGGGTGGCTCGAATTGACCCCGATCCAGCGAAGTGATCGGCGACAGTGTTCCAGGGCGTGATGGATTTTCGCGTGGTAAGCGTTCTCCCTATAAAAGCCCCAAATGTCTGTTTAACACTGCGACGTGGCGGATGTGACTCGACATTCGGTGGGGCATTGTACTCCATCAAGTTTGCTGATATCATGAGGATAGGGCACCTGTTTTGTAACCGACCAAACATAGGACGCATAAATGAGCATTCAGTTTTTGGCTCCCAAACCGTGCAACGCCTTAAATTCGCCCAGCTGCTTTGCGGGCAGGTTATTTAGTCAAAAGCTCGGGGTGGTTCTCCCTAGAACAACTCCCTACTTCGGCTTGGGTGACCGGGTAGTATCACGCCCACTGACAAAACCATGGATTGTCCAGCTGCTATATCGCACTCAGCTGCTTTGCTCCCGCTATTCACACACGTTCACATGCCACTTGTTCATTTGTTACCAATTACCTTTATCCGTTACCAGCTGATTCCTGTCTCCATCAGTACTCGCGATGGTTTCGTCGACGCCCACAAAGCTTGACAATTTGCCCTCCTTCGGCCTCAAACTTTGTTGCATCAGGCATGCTTCAATATACGTACACTCATGCAGATCAGGCTGGTGTTACGCGCACATTCGAATCCTTCACTATTGATATTTGTTGCCTTTCCGAAACCTAAATGCAAGATCGCAGTACTGTGATTGAGTTGAGATTTCCAACAGATCACGGAGCCATATTTCACCTACGTCTATCTGGTGACGCAGAAGCAGCAGCGGCGGGCTTGACCGGCTTTGGCGTAGCACTAAACAGCAAAGCCGAGGCTGCACTGATTGAATGGTTCCCGATTAATATCCGAATGTGTGCAGTTCGGTTTCAGGAATCATGCAGGATCAACAGATGTTGTGGGGAGAAAAAAACGCGCTTCAACTGACTGGTGTTGTGACTCGGTCAAGGACGATTTTGTCGTGAACTTAACTAGCTCTTGAGCAGACCTTGCAAATCCGATATTGTTACCCTTGTTTGGGCTCTCAACGCACGGGCCAGTCGTCTATTATCATGCGAAAGTTACTTCGGTGGTCACATTTGGTCGATGAGATCCGTTCGGATAATGAAGAGAGACTTCTCGCATTGTGCAAAGACAATCGTCTGTTTCACTTATGCACCAGCATTTGAAGAGACGTTTCGCTAGTTGGCGGCACTCTTTACCGAATCAATCATGGTTTCAAACTGATCATCTCGCAATCAGTTACAAATGAATGTATAGTGAAAAGGATTGCAGATACATCTAGTTAACATCTCGTGACCCAGATCATGCTCTTGTCTGTGGGAACATTTTCACGAGTTTCGGAGGGTCTCGAAAAACGAAGCGCTGCAAGGTAGATATAAACAAGCTATCTACTCTCTCAGTTCAGTAGAGCTATCAAGCTTCCCTGACCGGTGCAATCAGATGCGACCCACTGTAAGATATTGATGAACACTAGATGTTCATGCAGAGCACTGTGATCTCTTCCGGGCAGTTAGTCTGGTCTTTCTCAGACCCTATGAAGGCCTGGATCTCCACGCGCTCCTTGGATTCAGTTAACCGCCGCGGAAACATCCCTGCGGAGTCTAATGATATTGAAGTGCGCCGTTCTGTCAGTTAGCAGTACATATAAAATCTACGCAGTAAACACGAAGCATGGTGGTCACAGCGTGCATCGGAAATGGAGGCTGCCACTCTCTCTGGCAATACCCATAATCCCTTCTAGTTCACTAGATCCAGTGGCCACAAATAGTCTAGTGTCAGTGAGATAATTTGTTGATTGCCAAGCTACAAAGGCGCTTGGATCGGCGGGCCGAACATTATCACTTCCTGTTCGGTTAGCCCTCACCGTAAATTTGTATGCCCTGAGAACCCAGCCAACCGCTTTGGATAGTCACACTTGATGCACCCAGCGAAGCGGAAGTTTGCCATGCGATGTGACACTTGAAACGATTCAAGG